TAAGAGGCAAAAGCTAAGTAAGAATGGAAGTAGAGCTGCACATAGAAGTCGTTACTGGAGAAGCTGGTTCCATAAATGAGTAATGGGGGTTTGAAAAGTGCAGCAAAGCTAAAAGGTGGCTGCTTACTTGAATTCTGAGAATCGGATAATGTCTCAGATAACTGTGAGAAATACCCATCTTCTACAGATGTATTTGGTCTTCCCTTGTAAGTCAGATCTTTCCTCTGGCTCAGCAATCCATTTTTAGGATGGATAATTATGAATTATCATATCCAAAAGACAAAAATAGCTTCCTCTGCTTCTTTGTTAAAGGCTCAGTCAGGCAAAGGAAGTAGAATTTCTTATTCATGTTTCCAGTTTCGCAGAAAAATATCTTTTGTTGGCTGTGTTGGTGACAGCTTAGTAACTCTTGCTTTTAGTAATTCAGAAGGTTTTTTCCTTATGGGTTTTAAATTCTTAATTGAATAACTGATTACCAAATTCTGCAGACTGCTGATTTACTTGATTTAAAAGTAGGAAAAATGTAGCAAGAAAACTTTTTACTTTACTGTAAATATAATTGTTGTTCTTTCAGAGTTATTTATCTAAAAAAGCATGTTCAAAAGAAGCCAAAGAAGTGGGTGTGCAATAGAAGCATGAGGCAGATTTGAATAACTGATATTTTAGTTATCATACCCCAGAGAGGGAAATGAGTTATATATTGGGGGGGTGGGGGAGGGGATGGAGGGGTGCTAACCATTTAAGAGCATGCAGAAGTTGGTGGGGTTTTTTTCTCCTCCACTGTTAGGGTGTTCGTTTTAAATTCCCAAGGAATTGTTAAAACTTTGGTGACATCTAATGGATACTGTATGAAACTCCAAGATGCTTCTGTTCTTCCCCTCAATTTGATGTAATTGTGCCTTTGTTTCCTTTCCTTAATAGGACTTTTAAAAAAAACTCTTCGCAGGTTTTTTGGTAAAAAGAGTTTGCAGACTTAATGAGACAATCATACTGTTTTAAAGTGTTAAGAGAAATTAAGAGTAGGACTAACTATAAAGCATATATAAGGCATATCTTGTTTGTTTTTTAATTTCACATGTAACATTGTAGTGCATGTGTGAGTTAGTAACATTATCCTCAAGCGAGACACTTTATAATGGTTCAGGGAATGCTTTTATGTTTTTTTACAATTTGTTTTTCTATGAATGCAGCAGCATGTTGGTGGGTATTCTGTTAACATCTACTTAATTTATATATCTGCCCATAACTATGTAACCATTACATAATTGCTGTCAATATTGAACCATTTCTTGCTCAGATTTAAACACTGTTTGAGTCTAAAAGTGGAGTATAAAAATATGTGAATTTTGTTTTTACTTGAACTAAACTACCAGTCTTCTAAGTAGGCACATCCGCATTTACTTTAGCCAAAAACCTCAATCAGTGTTGTATGCACTATGAGTCTTGATTTGGGGTGAAGGGGGGTGGGGTGGGGGACCAAAATAAACTTATATTTTAATTTTGTCTTTAGTCCATGGCTAATTATTGTAAGATGTTGTGTGTGGGGTTAATTTTTTTTTACACACTGGCAATTACAACAGCTTTAATTTAAAAGAAATGGTCATGCCTAGTCAGTTTTTCTGGGTTTTTTATTATTATTTTTAGCATCAAAATGAACTGTCAAACCTTTT